TTATGGCCTAATAATAATAATAGTTATTGTTATTTAATAATAATAATCATAATATAATATATAATATACATTTAAATTAGGTCATTAGTGTTTCAGTATAACAATAATTACTATAATTCAGACTAACCATGTTTTTGCAATAAAATTATTTTATATTAAAACTAATATTGACAATTAAATTTCTTTGGTAATTATTTTATGAAGCAATACTCTGGATTAATAATAATAAACAATATACGAGTATAAGCACAAACATTTGAAAGCATAATAAATTTTTATAGGTAAAAAGAAATAAACTTTTACTTTGTCTGAAATAAAGACAAAAGTGGATCAGTTAAATTTTTACACAATTTCCTGATTGAGACATATAAATTTACTTTCTATAAAATAATCGCTATTGAAAAATATTTCGCGATGCTGACAAATAAAAAAATTACTCTTAAGTTGCCACATAAATTTCGAAACCAATAATTTACATGATTTTACTTTAAATAAATATCATTTTCCATTCTATAATATGACACTAACCATACCCGTAAATATGAAATATGGAAGCGTGTGAGCTCTTACGCGTGACAAAACACCAGTTTGCCGGGATACCAAAATATATACCCGCATGTACTATAATGACGATGAATACACTAAAAGCATTCAAAATATATAATAAATAATTCCAAATAAAATAGAAAAATATACTTAAGATTCAAGTAGTTTAGTTAAATGATGCTTGACTGCACTTTTCACTTTATAAGATAAATAGCAAAACAGTCAGGCTCAAGGCCCAACTTAATAGACTTCACATGTTCAACATTTCATGGGAAGTAACAGTAATATGACTTTTGGGTTGCATGAACAACCGACGGACAGGCAGTTCATTATATTTAGATTTATTTTATTTGAATATATTTTTATTTATATGAAATCGTTGGTTTATGTTGTTGTTTTTGTTGTTGTTGTTGTTGTTGCTGTAGCCATTGCTAATCACATAAGCTACAAGTGTTTTCAAATTTTGTATTCTAGGACTTCAAAACGTGAAACATGAAACGAAAATCATTCAAAACACATATATTTATTTTATTTTTTGGTCTTATGCAAAAAAGTGACTTGTCAAAATTAGCGAAATACTGTTGTTAGCAATATTTTGATTAATATCTACAATTTAATTTATTGGAATTAATTGAACTTTAATCTCAATATGCAGAGACGGCTACGCGCCGGCTTGTCTGCCGAAAATGCATAATTCATTTTATTATTTTAAAACTTACGTCTATTGAATTTGATATCCAGTATGTATGTACTCATATACTGTATACCTCTCCGGCTTTCTGCCTATTTTCTAGTCATAAATATTTCTGTTCCCTTGTCAATTTACAACATTATTTTGGCAAACTACAAAGCTAGTCGCAGCAAGTTAACATAGACGTCCATGACACTACAACACAGTTTAAATTAAAAAAAAAACAAAAAAGTTAAAATGTAACTAAGTACGTTTACAGCTGACACATGCAGACAAACCCCTTCACTTGTAACAGTTAAAAATGATTTAGATTTAACTGGCAACAACTGTTGAAACATATTTACCAACAATAATAAAAATAATAATAGCAACAGCAGCAGCAGCCGCACCATTTGACTTGAAACAATAATAATTTTTTTAAAGCATTATTCGAAAGGGGCGCTTGCATCTAATGTCAGGCAAGCCATTAAGTAAAAGTGAATTTCAACAAGCAGCCATACGCCCACAAAACACTACCATCATTCCAGAAAAACTGTGTAAAATCTGTACATATACATATATATATCAAAAAATATTTAATTTTATCTACAAAACAATCACTGCTGACTAGACAGACTTCCACAGTCAGATATATAAAATATCTAACAAGTATGCACATATCTGCACATATATGCATATTTGTATCTTGCAGATACAAATATCTACACTACATAAAAACAACTATCGATCGTATCAGTGGACGCAGATTTTAAACTACAACTTTCATTGCCTTTTGGGTAGCCTGTTTAACAATAATTAAAGAAAAACAATATAAATAAGCCGAATATGCACTTTTATTGACTGACTAGCTTGACCGACGATATCTTTTGTCTTAAGCTTAGCTTCAATTTGGGGTTAATTAATCAACGACAGCCTAGCTGATTTGGACTCATGATTATGCAAATGAATTGCAGAAAATCTATCTGACTGCCGCAGACAATTGTCGCATTGCAATGTGTATCTTTCTGCTTATAAATGGTATGTCATGGTCTAGTTCAATGTAATGCATTGTATTTGGGAGATTTGAAAAGGAAAGTTATCTTCTCGACAGTTCAAATGCATAAAATATTTAACTTCAAACCTGTCGAAAGTAAGACGGACACTTTCTGACTTCTACTAACTACGCTCGTGCAGCAAGGATTGTGGTTTCATTTGATTACCTTGATAAGTATTCCAAATTTCAATTGCCGCAGCAACAACGTGACTCTGGTATTAGCCTAAGCACATATGTCTACAATCGTTGCACTAAGGCAATTTATATAGTATTTAATTTATTATACTCGTAGTTAATGTCCTTACCTTTTACAAAAGTCAACGGCAAAGTAAGAGCAATCATAAAAAACGCAAAAAATTATTAAAAACTCTTTAAATGAAAATTAATTATTGCAGCAATAAAAGTTTATTAAACCAATAAAGTTTACGTAAATGAATAATCAATTATTAAATTGTTAATTTCCTTTGCAGGGGCGTGTTGTGAAGGCAAATCGTTTATGCCCAGAAACAATTAAATATAATTAAAATGCACATTTTAAGTTAAAAGATTTTTATTTAAATAAAAATTTTTCAAAAATTATGAACTTTCACTTGACAAGCAAAATCAACATTTTTTAAAGTAAATTGTAAAAGCAACTAAATCTGCGTATATAAAATAATAATGATGCAAAATTTATCTCATATAAAATACATCCACTTTTTTTATTATTTTCAAATAAAATATATATAATATATCATATATAAGAGTATACAAGTCATAAGAGCATCATATAACCCGACTGCTCTATAAGCAAAATATATAATATGTAAAAGATAATATAAGAGTAGACAAGTCATAAGAGCACCATATGACCCGACTACTTTATAAGTTCATAAGAAATCGCAACCCCAAGATATGGGTTCTAGTTTTCAGACTAACGAAAAACAGAATCTGAATCCCAACATGATAATTTTGATTAATGGCTAAAACAATAAAAGTTTCGACCAGTTGCCGGAATAAGTCATCCAATAAAATTGGATAAGTGTTGTATTCTTTACTTAACATATTATCTGATTATTTTTGTAAATGCAACTCTGGCTAGCTTTCAATTTAGATTGACAGTCTAGGGACGCTTTAGATGCAGATGTTTTTTTTCTAATAAAATCTGTGTCACATTCGGCTATTTATATGATAGCTATATCTAAGTAGTTAAAAATTAAGTTTTACATATTCTTCTCTTCTATATATATATACGTAAATTCTGTACCAAAATTTATTTTTTATAAGACATTGTGGGTCAATTTTGGGTATCCGAAAATGACTAGAAACTTCTACCGAAAAGTATGACTGCAAAGTTTCTATGATATTTATAGAATATAGAGGTCCGATTTTGACTAATACTTCAAATAATAAGAATCCACTTTGGAAAACTCAAAAACTGAGGGAGTAATTTGGGATAATAATGGCAGACGACCTGTAGGGCAGACGGATAATAGAACAGATGGACAGAACCTAATACAATTATCAAGCTGATTAACATAACGTAGACTTTATGGGGTCTCTACGATATTTCCTTCAGTGCGTTACAAAAATCTTGACAAACCTAATATATGTTTTTTACAATTTTTTGTGTAATGGTATGGAAAATTAAACTACCTGCGCTAAAAAGTCGAAAAAGATTAAAGTAAAAAAGAAAAAGTATAGTAAGAAAGTGCTACTTAACTGTACAAAGAACACAGTATAAATATAAAAAATTATATTGAGCAAAAACGTCTCAATAAACATTTTCAATATAGAAATATAATTACATAATTGTATATTACAGTAACAATACAAAAATGTTTTATTAGTTCGTATTATCTTCCCATTGTTAATTAAGCAATTTTTAAATTTTAGTTGCTCAAATTTAATTACAAAAATTTATTTACTAAATATTTACTAAATATTACGACATTCTTCTTCAAATCGCAAAGATTTTGTAGTCGTTTTGTGTAATACATAGTTCATTGTCAAAATAAATCTTATCTAAACATTTTTTTAAAACAGAAGTAAAGTTTAAACTCTTTTAAAGCATTAATTTAAATTAAACTATTTGTCAATAAATTTTTATAATTATGGCTATAAAATTCTGAAGCTAAATGTCAAATAAAGTATCACAGAATACATTTTATGCCAACACCAAACACTAAGCACAGCATTCCTTGTAAGACCTTCAACTGTGTGTTATGCCTAGACTTGGAATTGACCAATGTCTGAATCCAGCACATTGCTGTATATTGACAGCATTGGTAGTTGCACCACTGCAATCAGCATCCACCAGCTTCACTTGGAAATAGTTGGTTAGCATTTTGTAGTAAAATGTCAGACACGATTTAAATATGCAATAAGTAAAGGAAAAAATATCTAGAAAAAAAATATAGGAAAAAAAAATCGGAAAATAAAGCCACAAAATCAATGCATGTTTCCTTCTTATGAACGCTAATTTTACTGCCTCAGACATTGGTCTCAAATTCAATTGGTTGCAAAGTGTGGGAACGTTATTAACTAACGCTTTACTCTACGTATTAGATACGAGTAAATGCGGCTTGCTAAAAAGTGAAACGCTTAAAACATTAAATTATAAAAAATTGAAATCAAAACTAAATGAATTAAATTTTAACAATAACAACAATAAAAGCAACAACAATAGCAACGAGCGTTTGTTGCAACAGGTTACCAAATATTTGCCATACAAGTGTAACTAGATCGTAGATGGATCTATGGACGAATCAGCGGGTGCAACAGCATCACGGATTTTTTCAAGTAAGTTTGTTCATCCGTTGTTGTACACTTCTCGCCTGCCGCAACAGTCGGTCTGGCCTGTTGTCGGTGTTACCTGTTAATAGTGTAATTGGCAATTTGATTTATACATTATCCGCAGCATTTCAAGAGTTTCAAGAGTACAAGCGCCAAACTGAAAGGATTTTAGTTGCACCAAAGTTGCCACAATTTTTTTTCTTAGTATGGCAAAGGTGCAACATTAACAGCGAAATAAACAAACATTGTGTGTTTTATTATGTATCATTAAAGCGGCATTAAGAGCACAAAAACTTAAAGTAAAGCAGCAAAAAAACTGTAGCTAATGTACACGTAATTGTCAATAATAAACTAAAAAATTTATTACAGGGACTGATTTGTTAGCAGACAGGTAATAAAGCTTCGAATACAGATACTTGGTATCATGGAAGAAATATTTATATACTAATATACAACATCCTGTAACGAAAGAGCAGAGTTACTTGTGCTTACAGATGTATCTCGTGTGTGTTCCCAAGCAATTATTTGTATTACCTTTGCTCTGATTTTAATGGCAGTTCTGACGATTTTTGTAATTATAATTATGAAGTAACAAAAATTACTATATAAACAAAAAATAATGTTGAAGAAAATTAAAATTTTCTAATAAAGAAGAAGAATCTTTTTAATAACAAATATGAATGCAATTTAGAAGTACTAGTATTACGACATGAAAGCAGTATTAAAAGTCAGATTGCATTATTAATGAGAAATAGAGGATGTAATGCTATTAACATAAATACTAAATTATCATTATTAAATTCTGTATCATTATGATCGTAATAAAATATATCAGTTTGATCCCCATCGTTGATTTTGTTACGAAACAAGAGCTATTATTTAGGTTCAGAAATTTTTTTACTGAAAAATAACACAATAATTAACAATAAATTTTCTAATCGATTAACGAAAATATAATAATGTGTTGTTTTATCTATTTTGTTTATAATGTTTAATAGACCACTTTTTAAATTTTTTTGAAAACAAAATATCAAACATACCCATGATGTTTTGATATAATAAAACTTATAATCGTTCTCTAATCCAATTTCTAATTTAATCTTATTTCTAATAATGTTTTGATCTATCTATTTTTATCTATTTCAATTTCTTTTCTGCTTATGGTACACTGAGGATGGTCTACGAAGTGTAATTTTTTATTATCTTTATGCCTTAAATAAATAACTTCTGCCCGTTGGTGACGCTCCCTCCTGCCCCCTCCATACACTCCATCTACTTGAGCCAAGCTCATGCATTCTGGCCTAGATAAACCTAGTCCACTAGATATCACAAACCTCTTGCTCATATCTCTTTCCCCTAATTAGTGAAATGAAGTTTCCACATTGCTATGCATATCTTCTCCATTCATTCCTATGAGGTGGTTTTAGTGGTTTCAAGTCTTCCACTACGGCTTTCGATGATTTCCACCATCAGTCTTCAAAATATTTCCCGTGAAGAAATGATGTACCCAACATACGTTGTTGTCCTACACTAATGCTTTACTATAAAAGGATTTCTTCTACTGCACATTACTGCAGTAGTGCGATAACCTTCATTTCGAAATAAACAAAATCTGTAATATAGTGAACGTCAAATAGTTGCCTAATTAAACACAACAAAAACAACTATAAAACAAATTTTCAAAATTGTGGTTAATGCAAAATAATGTTAGGATCAGATTTCATCGGTGCAGAAAAAAAGACTATTTTTGAAAATTCTCTATAACAAACACACTTAGCTAACTCAATGCTTTGAATATAGAAATATTCTTCAGAAATTAATATTTCATTTCATATAAAACTATAAAAAATATACTGTAGTACAGAAAAGTCAGAGACGAAATATTAGCTTGACAAATGAAAACTTTAATAAAAAACTATTTTTAAAAAATTGTGAAGAAAAAACAATCAGACATCGTCTACTAACTTAGCTCCACAGTGCCATCAATCAAAGTTATTGATGGTTAATATTGGTCAAACGATGGTCAGGTGAATGTAGTAATTGAAATTAAACATTTTTAATTTCAGAAGCAAATCGTGAAGTTTTTACTATATTTTTTTTACTGTAGTCCTCTTCTCCTTGTGGATCTTAGGGCCTCTATGCTCTAACCGTATTAATTAGCCACCCAAAATTACTTTTTAAAATAACTTCTTAAGCGAGGGTTTTCAAACTAGATTATTGAACGTCATTAGTGGTCAGTCACAAAATTACATGATTTCTGAAACGTACTCCAATTTTGAGAACAAATGTAATACTATTTAACAGGAAATATATATATAATAAAAGCCATACCTGGCGTTGTTAGAACAAATAAATAAATGACTCAGTAACAGTTCGATAAAGCTTTCAAGCCATTGATCTTTGTATTCATTGATTAGCATTTACATTTTAAAAAATGTATAAAATATTAGCATACACAAACGCCAACTATAATTAATTACTGATGTCTGATGCTGCATCCAATATAAATATGCATTTATATATATAACACATAAAAAACCTACGTTAATAAATTAAACAGCACTTTGCACGTAAACGTATAGTTGCAATTAATTCGCTAGCAGCACGCCATTATTAGATTCGATTCATTTTTTTAAATCAATATTTTATGGTTCGACCAAAACTGCTCATGTAGTGCAAAGAAGTCGTCATGAGGCACTAAAAGTAATGAGATTTTATACTAAAGTTGAAGGCAACTAGTTTTAATGAAGTGGTAACGTAACGAATTAAACATGTCTTCTTCTCGTGTCCAATTGTAAAGTGAGAGTAAGTAAAAGGAAAATTACAATAAGCCAGGCTAATAAAATATTTTATGGTTAAATGCTGCTAAACAAATTCATAATAATTCAAAATTTAACAAATGAGCAAAATTACACAGAGCATTGTAAGATTAAGATGTAAAAATTTGTATGTTAGTTTGCAAATTAAAACAACATTTAAACAGAATTTAAAAACAAGCCAAAGAAAACAAAAGAAAATAAAAAATTGCAATAAAATTTAACGCCACTCAGTGAAATCATGTATCAACAATGATTAATGTTTCATCATACTAAAGCAGTGATTTTTTCAAGACAACATTTACATTGCTACAACATTTTTAACAGCCCCTTTTAATATCTATGAAGATATCGGATTTCTGCACGCACTGCCCAACTCAATTACTTATCATCTAATATGTACCCACAAGTTTCTCAGCAGGTAGCCGCAGTGGCGTAACTACAGGGAAGCAACTGGAAGCAACGCTTTCGGGCCCCCGAATTTAGGGGGCCCCACTATAAATTTTTGTATTCATTGTATTTCTTTTTAATAAATTCTCAAAAGTGGGACGAAACGTTTTTTGTTGGAATAACTTCATATTGCATTTTATAAAAGATACGTAAATTTTAAATTTAACGTACATAATATGTATGTACTTCAAATAAAATATTAAACCTATTTATGAAATAAAAAAGTTTTTCAAAGAAAAATATGTGTCTTGATCGAGAGTTTATATGGAAGCTATATCTAAATTTAAACCCATTTGAAAATAATTTTGTACGTTGTCTTTTGCAAATATCAGTACTGTATACACCATATTCCATTTGAATACCTTTATTAAAAACGGAGAAACCTCATATTCGATTGTTAAGTTTACATATATCACAGCAGAAATAGACGTCCAATTTCAATCAAATCAAATGGTGAACAGGGTGCGCTCCCGAAAAGTATGTGTATAAAGTTTCATTCGAAGAGTTCAAAAGCTGAGAGAGTAGTTTGAACTGTAAAAGTATACTGATATATACTTAATGATATTTCCGAAGTTTCCATTAATGCGTTATGAAAATCTTGACAAACCTTTTTACATTTTTTCGTGTAAAGAGTATAAAAAGAGGGGCCCCTTAGTATGTTGGTAGGGGCCCCTTAGTTAGAATTTGCTTACAGGCCTAAAATATGTAGTTACGCCACTGGGTAGCCGACTGATATATCTAACGTTAAAAGACGATCCAAATACAGTAACATATATACTTGAATTTGCTTAGATGAGGATATAATTATATGCTAACTAATTACTTGTCAAGCATAAATACGTCTATTGCTGGTATGCTCTGCAAGTGCACTCTTTCCACCTAATATATGACGTCGTCTTACAACACATATTTGACTCAACGGATTCTCAACAAACTTCCGACTGACAATGAAGGAATTAAAACTGAAATCCATGGCTAATATGTTCTTCAAGTGTATCTTTACCTTCTAACATATATCCGTCATCTATCACACATTTAAGTCTTATTGCATAGCAACGGATTTTCAACAGGCTTTCGACTGACAATCAAGAAATGAAAACTGACATATATGGCTAATATGTTCTTCCATGGCTAATATATGTATATACATGGCTAATGTGTTGTTCAAGTGAAAACCATGGCTGATATGTTCTTCAACTGCATCTTTACCTTTTAACATATATCGTCATCTATTACACATTTAACTGTTATTGCATAGCAATGGATTTTCAACAGACTTCCGACTGACAATAATAGAATAAAAAACGAAATCCATTACTAAATGTTCTGCAAGTGTATATTTACCTCCTAACATATGTCGTTATCCATAAGGTATTTAACTCTTATTGCACAGCAATGGATTCTCAATAGGCTCACGACTGATAATAAAAGAAATGAAAACCGAAATCCATTTCAGAAAGAACTGTAAGCAATTAGAATAAAAAATGCAATCTTCATTAAAAATGCAATACAGATCAGTAATGAACGTCAATTTGACAGCTGCGTTAGTTTATATTAGCGTTGGTAGCAGGAAAAAGTTTGATTCACTCCAGAAAAATACTAGCTTTAAACAAAATTAAATAGTAGGGACCATAGTACTGGCCTTCAATTAAGAACAAAGCTATATGATATGCAACTATATAGTTGTCTTACACAAATACGTCTATTTCTAATATGTATCGCAACTAAAACTCTATGACG